AGATTGGAAATGTCCAAGTATCGTACCAGAAGCTCAAAATTATCGTATTTGGAAGAAAAGTATCGTACATGAGTAAAAACGTACAGAATCCAACTATTTATTTACTAGACTAGAACAACAACTTTTTGACAACCTTCAAATTACCACAATAAATAAATAACTATGCTAGGGCCCTATGAAATACGTTTTATTTTTTCCCAAATTCAAACATTTTTGGATTCTGTTTTTTTTTTTTTACATTTGAATTTTTCTGGACTCCTTTTTAACTGGTTAAATTAAATTGTATTAACCAAAAGCACGTCTAATTAAATAATGAAACGTATACAATTCAACATCAAATGTATTAAAAAGTTTAACAAAAATTACATGTTTAGGGTCTTATGAAATGTTTATTTTTTCACCTTGTTTATTGTTACCAAATCCTGTTTTAATATGTCTAATTATTTGAATGCATGAAAACTACTTTTATTTATAGCCTTATGAAATGTTTTTTTCTTTAGAAATTCTGCGTTGTGTATTTTAATTTTTCTGGTTATGGAATGAAGGCATAACACATTAATTTAATGTATCTTTTAATTAATGATAATTAAACAAATTTCTATTTTTTGGCAAACAAAGGGTATTTACAATTAAATTTAAAACATGGAAGAAATATTGTGATTATTCCTTAATAATTTTAGTAGTAGTAGTTGTACGTACATTCTACTGAACAATAGTAATACATTTCTGGCAGAAACTATATATTTTTGACTCTCAGAGCAGTTCTGGGGATGTTGTTCATGTATTTATGTCCTATTTAGTGAGAAGGCAGATACTGAAATCACCGCGAGCTTCAGTATGTGTGTAGTAAACAAAACCGCGTGACATTCATTCAGACCATAGACTATGATTCAGACAGACACAGAACATGCAGGATTTATATTTAAATAGCCTTTTTGCGGCTTAATATTTACAGATACTAGACCATATCACGATTTAAGTGTAATGACGTTCCTTTGATTAATTCATCCAAACTTTGACAAATTCCGTGACATTCCGCGTTATACAGTAAATTCCGTTGACTGGATTCCGCGATTCCATCCGTGTTTTCCGCAATCTGGAAATCATAGGGCCCTAGGCGTACTTTGTGGGAAGGTCCAAACTCCACCTCCAGTCGCTGTCATCAGAATCCTGCGTGTTGCCAGATGTTGAGGGTCCTGAGGTGTGCACCAACCCATTTAAAGCATCTGTAATGAGCCGATTTCATGGCTTTGTTTTGATGAGGTTGACTTTGGAAAAAAACACGTTCTGAAATTTCGAAATTATCGTACATTATGGGATTTTTTTCATTATTGATCGTACATCGTACAGAGGTAAAAATTATCGTACAAATACGATAATTATAGTACGTCTGGCAACACTGCGCGTGCATGAGGCTAGTAATTTGCATAAAACACGCCCAGACCATCTCCATATAAGGGCTTTCCGCAATGCAGCACTTGCCCAAAGAAACAATAGAAAACCATGTCACCGAAGCAAACATATCCATGCGCTCTCTTCTGAGAGCACGCGCCGCAATATCTTCAAGAATTGCCAAGTGTGCCATGAATCATAGGCGCCGATCCGAGCACCATTAATTTAAACCAGGCTTAGTTTTTGTAACAGAGGTTCTGGAGCAAGACAAATTATTCTTGTCGTTGGATTTTAAACAATGGTTGTTAAATGTTTTAAGTTATCATTTTCTCATGGTGAGCTGAATGTAAAAGGGACTTTAGGTCAGTGTGCCGAGCACCCACTGGCAGAAAAAGAAATCGGCGCCTATGCCATGAATCCTAAAGGGTGAGACACAATAATAACCCTTATCTACTGATTGGCTTCATCACTCTGTCCCCTCTCCACCAGTAAGCTGGTGTGTGGTGGGCGTTCTGGCGCACTATGGCTGCCGTCACATCATCCAGGTGGATGCTGCACACTGGTGGTGGATGAGGAGATACCCCCTGACAATGTAAAGCGCTTTGAGTGCCTAGAAAAGCGCTATATAAATGTAATGAATTATTATTATTATTATTATTATTATTATTATATAGGCCTAGATCAGGTGATTGTTGTTTGGACATCTCATTACGCACATCTGTATATAGTAAAACAATAGATATTCTTAAGATGTTCTCCGTGTCACAACTTGTATTGTATGTGATTATAGCGTATGTGATTATTGCATACGTGTGCTTTAAATTGTTCTTACATTTTTTCGTACATTTAGAATACATTTTAATACAAAAGTTTTAGTGAATCATAATTTGTTCGTGAAAACGTTCGTGCGCATGCTTCGTGAATGAGACCCATTGTGCTTGTACCAGCACTGCCAGGATATAGTTCAACAGAAGTTTCTACAAGGTTTCATTATGCTGAATAAGATTGGTCTTTATCTACATAGCCTAGTTTAATAGTCTCACCTGTTCAGCTCCACGGACCTTTAGAACCAGTGATGCAGGTCAGTGACTATATGAAAAAAGTCTGCTAACAGGGCTTAAGTGTCTTGTTTCTCTACAGTTACATTACTTTAAAATAGCAGATAGTTAGTTATAGATAAGTAGGCCTATATTTTTCCTCTGCTATGAATTTATATATGATTGTGCTTGTGTTTTCCAGAGCGACACCTTCATCTACTGGTCATCATGACAATCATCATCATCTCTTTCTACCTCATCAAATAATGATTCCATCCCCATTTCGGGAAACCAGGAAGTATGTCAAGGCAATGCACGCCAGTTTTGGGGACTTAAATAAAATGTTATCTTTCGTTTTACTAATACACGTTTTCTTATTTTTGTAAAGGATGTCTAGGATAAAATGGCACAAATTAAATCTAGGTCACCCACTCATCCTACATGTTTGTACAGGACCCGAGTGAAAACAGGTCAAACCGGAATGCTTAGGAATAACTGTAAGTGAGAGGAAACACCCACAGGACGTTCAACATTAACACAGACTGATGAATACAACACACTAAAATAACCCAGAGTCTGCTGAAACAGATATATAACTGGCTGATTTTATGCAGTTTCATTTATGAGGTTTTTATCAGTCTGCCTAAAAATAAAGTCATGTTTACAAGGATCTTCAGACATTTTCCACATTCTGCCTCTTTAAGTGTTAAAGGTCCCATATTGTACACCTTTCTAGAGTTTTATTTTAGGTTTTGATGTCCTTAAGAATGTATATTTGCGGTATAAGTACCCAAAACCATCTCAATATATTTTTTCCAACTCCTCTCTCAGGAGCTCTGCTGAGAAAAGGTCGATTTTGGCTTGTCTAATTAATATTCATGAGCCTCTCTTCTGATTGGCCTGTTGTTTTCTGAGTGACGCACGGTCAGGCCAACCACAGGTAACTAGAGTCAGCCGACGTCACAGCTCTAGCTGGAGGCAGCAAAACAAAGAGACTGGAGGCGGCCCATTCAAACCAGCGCAGATTCGGCTACATAAGGAGCTTAAAATATCATCTTGTTGTGATGTTGGGTGCCAGAACCGACGTAATACAGCTGCAACTGCCAGACAAAAAACCGACGACAACTGTGGTTAAACGCGATAAAACGAGCAGACTGGACAGAAACGATCGTCAAAAAATGCTCGCGTTTGCAACACACACTTCTTATCAGAAAAGGTTCAATAAAGTATTGTCTTTTGTTGTTATGGGCGCGTCTACAGATTTATTGACATATGTCTATGTTTCTTGCATCTCACGACTATGTCGTGTATGAAATAATGTCTGTGTGCATGTGTGTAAAACAACAAACTGACGATTTATATATATAATCATTTGTAATTGTATATACATTGTTGTGATTAATTGTGGCTGGAACAATAATGTAGCTGTAAAAATAGTTGCCTGCTGAAACTGAAATATATATATTCATCTTCATCATGACTAGATAGACACGGTGAGTTTGTCT